GTAAAGCTACATCTGCAGGGAGACGCGCAGTTCTGTTCACGGCCATTACGTGGAGGAGGGTCTAACCATCCCTCTGCAACAGAGTTTCAGCCTGTTTTCATCCACAGAATCACTGTAAAACCTTAGGTGAATCTAGTAAATTCCCCATACTTCACTTTACCCACCTGTAGAAGGGTGTGTGAACTGCTTTGAGATGCTCAGATTAAGGAAATGCAAAGTGATATTTTTTGTTTTCAGAGCTTTTACATATGGAGCAAATAATGTATGTGTGTTTGTGCACGTGTGTGTGTGTGTGTGTGTGTGTGTGTGTGTATGTGTGTGTGTGTATGTGCGTGCACGTGCACCTCAGATTTTTGGTAAAGGCAAATAATGTGCCGAGTTACTAATTCTGGATATAGAGGAGCTGAGTGGTAACAGGAACGTGGAATCTAAATATAGAGAACATATAAGAGAAATACAAACTCCGTTCTCAGCAATGTAAATTTTAATGAGATTATGTACAATCCTTTTATTGATACTTTTGCTGGGGTAGCACAAAAGAATGAGGTTTGTTCTATATTCACCTCATATATAACTAAGCATTTTGGCCTCGTATTTAGGAATCTCCTCACTGCCGCCTGGCCAAAGCTTGCTCTGGCTTGAGGAGGGTGGATTCAGGGGATGACTTTCTCTGGAATTGAAGGATTAGTTGGCTTGGAACTTGTTTAGGGACACATCTTAAAATATACGGGCCAGTGCTACACCTCAGCTATTCAATGACATGATATTAGAGGATATTTAAAACTAAAGCTGGCTCTGGCAGTGAGATTTACCAGGCTGCAAAACTGAGCAATAAAGCAACACAAGCAGGAGATTCAGCTGCTTTCCTGGCGGCTGAAATTAATCCCTTTGCAAAAAGGCCAGAAGAAAAACATATACGGCCTAAGGTCCTATTTTGAGAGCTTGAAATCTTCAAGCCAGTCTCTTATCGGGGTGAATGCTACCCTAGTATTGCACACTGCTACATGCTTTGATTAAGGCCTTTGCTTCCTTCATTCAACAGGAAAGTCCCTTTATGCTGAGCCCCAAGACAAGATCTGAACCCCTCCCTCAAGTATTCAAAACCACAGAGAACGAAACTCAGTGGTTTCCCCGTGATAAAAGCACTGACTCCTGGAATCCTTTCCATTGGCTTCAATGAGCTCTGGTCAGGGCCTTAGTCCTTGCAGAAAAATCTCTCCCCCACTGCACAAATGCTCCTTCTACTGAGCCAAGCACACCGATGCGCAGAATTATGTTCCAGCCACACCTCTGACCTTCCAGCATTTAGAAAAGACATCTTCCTAGATGAATACAAGCCCAGAGGGAGACCAGAAATGGTGCGAAAGAACAAAGTACGTTTCTGCCACGTTCTCACTGCTGTTCCCCTTGCAGTCGCTCCTGCCGATCATACTCTTTTACTGCCATTTGCAGCAGAGCCAGCAGACAAGGAGCAAAAAAAAAAAAAAAAATAGCGAGCTTATTAAGTAGATCAGATGTTAAGGTAACATTATGTGCCACGCTACATTCTGCAAGCTGGTGAGGACAGGATGTTATTCAGATGGTAGCCAGAGATGGCTTTGATGAGTTCAGTTACTGTTTTTTTCACGTAGGCCTGTAAGAACCAGGTCTCTGTGGTCAGGAAGGGTTGTTGCAACAGGGCCTTCCTACTATGCTCTCCTGAACAGGTGAAAGAAAAGACAAACATGTTCCACTTCAGGGTCCTGGTAAGACTTGCCCTGCTCAGAAATGCTGGCAGCTCAGCATATCCCTCTAGTTTACTGACCATCTCTAATCTAGCCTGTTAGAAAAGCATCTCCAGCAGCCCTCCTCTCTGACTGGGCTGCACTTTGTTTCTTTTCCCTTCTCCCTGTGTACCCCTCTCTAATTGGACTCTACCAAACACTTTGAAGTGATGGTCTCTGCTGAAGATGCCCTTTCTGCAAGCCATTTGGCCACTCACTGCCAACAGCTGGCAACCACAGATCAGAGCCGGCAGTTCCCCGTCTTCTGTGGTCACTGCACCCAGTTTGTGTCCCCATCCTTCCCCCCACTCTCATCTGTTTTTTCCCCTCACTGACTGCACCTTGTCATTTTGCTGCAGCGTGTGTTGCTGGGGCTGGGGTGCCCTCAGCTAAGCGTGAAACGGGGCTCTGACTCGGCAGAGCCTCCTCTGTGCTTCTCTAATAGTCGTGGTTAGCAATGCAAAGGGCAAACCTGAGAGCGTGTAAAACGAGAGGCTTGGGTTTAGCAGTGCAATGCTCATGCATCAGGGTGCTGTGCCAACAGTTCTTAGAAGTTGCAGGGGTATTTAATTATCAAGGTGCCAGGCAGCTTGAGGCAAGAGCTTATCAGAAGCAGGAGGAGAATATTAAATGATACCTGCTCCCAGTGTAAGGAAGTAGCTATCATCCCCACAGAGCAGTCTACTGGATGCCGCGCTCTTCCATTTACTTCTCCCCAGTTCATGCCACTGAGTCGGGACAGTGAGCTCTGAACCCGGAGTGATTTTTCTTAATGTCTTTATATAGATGAGTTAACTCAAAGCCTTTCCAACATAAGCATGTTTTTCTGTTCCTTCATCCTGACCTTGGCATTTTCTTTCTCCACTCCAAGTTCTGTGCTGTCCTCTGGCCAGCTTTGCCTCTCATTTGTCAATGTTATTATTGAATTTTCAAATGCCAGTAGTGCACATAAATCAATGGCTGGCTTCTCCCCAGTGGCATATCCCTGCCACATGTGGTCATTCATTTTTTTTAATAAGTCCTCCTCTCCTTTCACCCATTTATAAAAATGCATCTTGTTCGCCTGCTGCCGTCCATCATTCGGTGAGTCCAGCTATTTGTTGCCCCTGAGTGCTTATTCATCAACGTTTTCAAAAGCAAAATCACTCTTCGCCTCCTGCTCTTATTGTGCCATCAATCTCGACTGGGGATCAATAAACCTTGCTTTTGCAATTTTTCCCCCATCGTCCTGTAGTAGCTTTTCCAAAGTCTAGCCTTTGTATTTACATTTTTAACTGATCGTCAGAAGTAGGACAATGACAGCGCCGAGGAGCAGGACGCTTACACTTGCTCCCAGTGTGGCTATAAGTGGCCCAGCATCAGTCATCTCACTTGGGGACCCTGAGAATTGAATACTCATCTCTTTCCCGGTTTGCTCTGGCCCTGCGGAAGGAGCGGTAAATGGAGAGAAGATGACCCCTGGCCCCCCAGTTCTGGCAGACATTAGCCCTGGGGACTAGAACTGGGTGAATATTTTTCTTCTAAACATAATTTACATGGAAAATAGCTTTTCACTGAGAACTGAAAAGTCATTTTTATGATTTTTTCAATAATAACAAACAAAACAAGAACTATTTTTTTTTTCAAAAAAAAAAAACCCTTTCTCTTTCAAATACACACTTAAAAGCCTGGCATTTAGTTTCTGAAATGGGTTCCAAGAAAACAGACTATTTTATTTTTTGACCAAAAATGTTTTCCAAAGCTGAATATTTTTACATGCATTTTGAAAAAGCTAAATGTTTCAGTTATCAGTTATCAGTTTTATCTTTTCATTGAAATTCTAAAAAAAAAAACAAAAAAAAAAACCTCTGAAGCCAAAAACAATTCCAGCACAACCGATCAGCTTGCTGTAATCACGACGAGCGCGCCGCGCCAGCCCCCTTCCCGCTCACTGACCTGCTACCTC